GTTGCAATGGTTGCTGGAAAGAAGAAATAAACTACATCAGTAGTCAACTAGCTGCAGAGTCAAGGCATCATCTGGTGTCCTTAGCCCTATCCTTGTCCTTTTTCATCAGTGGGCATGGCTATGCCTCCTATCGGAAAACTTTAGGCAAAGGTTCAGGGTTGGGTGTAGTATCAGAAAAGCCCTTTCCAGAAGTAGTGGATCTTGCCCTAACATACATCAAGGAGATTTTAGAAGAGTTGTGCAAGGATGCAAAACTTCAGATGAAGAGCATCTCAAGTGACCAGTTGGGTAGTTGGCATCGTGCTGTAACCACCTGTGATGGTTGCTGGCAGATAAGGGGACACTTTAGTCAGAATTGTACTTTTATTATAAAAAATTATATAATGGGGGTCTTTTTTTTTATGGGCATCTGTCAATGAGGGGTGCTGACAGAATATGCAATGAGGATTTGTGGCAAGGCACTGCCAAGGCCGCAGAAGGTCATTTGGCCCAGTTGTTATGGGCTATGGCAAAGGAAGAGGGAATGAAGGTTGAAGTGAATTGGCAAGATGCTGATTCATCTTCAGCCAAGGGATTTAGACACTCGTATGACAATGAGCAGGAATCCAAGATCATGCTGTGTGGAGGGCATGTAGGTCGGGCCCATGGGAAAAAGCTTCAGGAGCTGCAGAAGATGACATCATTTTCTTCAGCTTTTGTTAGCCTTCACAAAGGGGATTTCCCAAATATGGCATCGCTAAAGTGCTGTTGTATTGGGAAAAAGCATGTCTTTGTTGCCACAAGGAACAAGCCAGTCTGTGGATGTATAGGCCCTGGGTTTATTCAAAGTGCTAAGCGAAACCATTACTGTGCTTTGGTTCACGCTGGGAGGGACCCTGAAAAATACAGGGAAACAATGCTTACCTTGGGTAGGTACCACTGCAGGGACATCCATCAGTGGGAAGGTGGTTCCTGTTNAGTGTTACCTGTGGTACTGGAGCATGTGACTAGTAAACATGGCATTAAATTGAAAGAAACACGAGAGGTCCAATTTGCTCCTAAGGAATTGATGCTGTCTATATGGGTGAATGGAATTATTTGTGCATGATTTTAAACAGAGTCATTTTGTTCCACATCATTTTATTACAAATAAAAGAATTCTTTGAAATTACAATCATAAAAAAATTCTTCTCCTGGGCTAGACCTATGCACCTAGGCATCTCCGGGCCATCTTGCATCCCGCAAATCTATCAAAGTCACCCTGTAAACCTAAAGGCAAGATAAAAGCAAAGAAATTACATTTTGCTCAAAGGGAACCATTAATTTAAGAAAAATTGGTGTGGATATAACAAGACAAAAAAAAACTCACCGCTGACATCTCGGGATTTGGGTAATCCCGCAGTGATGCATTTATGATGGTCCGCATTACCTCTTTTAGGCAATCCGGATACACGTAAGTCGGGAGGGCTTTCCCCCAAAACCAGCCTACGCCAATTTTGTTTCCAAACTGTTGAGGAAAAAAAGACCTTTTCACAAACATGTTTTGTGAACCTTGTCACACGAGGCAAAGCACCAAAATGATGGGAAAAATGAAACGGTTTTCAAGTAAACTATAGGCTACTCAGATACCCGGTCAGCAAAACAGAATGACACAAGTCAACATAAAAGTCGATATAAACACTAAGAAACGGGGCAAGCACAAACAACAAAGAAAACTCTATCCATTTTTACGTTTCTCAGTGTTTAGTGATTATATTTGTCCATCGCTAGTAAAAACTTGGCTCCATCAAGACCTTAAACCACATACAAAACTGCCACGTGGAAGATTGACATCATACATTACCTTCAAATACGCACCAAACAAAGGCAGAAATCGCAATAAAGAGGTAAGCACGGCATCAAAGGTCCTCATGGANCCTTTTCACAAACATGTTTTGTGAACCTCGTCACACGAGGCAAAGCACCAAAATGATGGGAAAAATGAAATGGTTTTCAAGTAAACTATAGGCTACTCAGATACCCGGTCAGCAAAATAGAATGACACAAGTCAACATAAAAGTCGATATAAAACTGCATACAAACACTAAGAAACGGGGCAAGTGCAAACAACAAAGAAAAATCTATACATTTTAACGTTTCTCAGTGTTAAGCAATTATATTTGTCCGTTGCTAGTGAAAACTTGGCTCCATCAAGACCATAAACCACATACAAAACTGCCACGTGGAAGATTGAAATCATACATTACCTTCAAATACGCACCAAACAAAGGCAGAAATGGCATTAAAGAGGTAAACATGGCATCAAAGGTCCTCGTGAATATCATAGGGCAAAAGTCACTGAGGTACTTACCCACAATATGCCGAATACTTGGCGAAAAAACGCCTTCTTGCCTGCTCCGCAGTCTCGTCCAGTCTCTGGTGAAAACCGTGAAGAAACCTCACCAGGCCAGGAGGAGTTCCCTGAAATCTGGACGACAGAAAAGCCATTGTAAATCTCTTAACAAGTACAGAAAAGCAACAAAATTCAGTACATGAAACGATTTATTTACCCATTCTCTCCGAGAGTACAGTCGAGCGCATTTACTGCTTCCTCGGCTGCCATCACGATCAAAGAGGGTGTCACATTTCAGATTACCAGGGTTTATTGCGTTGAGCTGTCAACAAGACCATCCTTTGGGAGATCCACAGCAGGACCTTTTTTCGTATTTTTACCACGAAAACCTACATAGAAACGAAACTTCGCATGCCAATATCTCAGACGGGTTTGGTTTTTCCGACCTAAAACTTAGCGTACGTTTGTGTTTTAAAATTATTTTCCAGTGGACAAAAAATTTTGGCAAAACAAAAATGTCACTTTAGCCTCCAGGAATACCTTAAGACCAATTAACGTTTTGATTATGTTTGGTTAATTTTGATCCAGATGGCGCTATTCAAGTAGTTGCACTATAAAATATCTTTTAGACGTCTAATGGCTAGTTTTTACGAGAATGCATTGACAATGTCAATAGCACACGCCCTCATTGCTGTTTCATACTTAAAACAGTCCTTGAGGATGTTCTGAAGGGAAGCAGCCATTGTGGTTGGTAGGGACTCTGAGTGAGGACATTCTTTTTCATGACAGCAATTATTGCCGTAATATCGCTATCTGAACCATCACTTTCTGTTCCAGCAGCTGCTTTCTTATCTTCCAACAGATGTTCCCAGCAGTCCTTCTCTGTGAAAAGTTCAGCTAACATGCATGCTAATGACCAGACATCTGAATGGACAGTGGCTTTCTTTCTCTCAAGCAGACATTCAGGAGCCTTATAGGAGGGAGTTCCTGGGATTCCTGTGCTAGTGGTCTGACTGAGGGACTGCACAGACTTCAACTTGCTCAAACCCATGTCACACAGCTTAGTGATGTGTGTTGCCTTGGCCATCAGTACATTGGCAGGTTTTATGTCCCTGTGAACCAATGGAGGTAAATTATGCAAGTAGATGACAGCTAATGAAATTTGCTTTCCCACATTGAGCTTGTTACAGCTTTGAATGGAAAATGTTTCAGAGTTTTCATCATCGCTGAATAGTAATTCCTCCAAATTGCGCCCTTTGATAAGTTCGGAGACCAGGTAAATTGAGTTCTTCAGATATGAAATTGCCATAAGTTGGACGATGTTTGGGTGGCGAACGATGCTGTGAAGTCGTACCTCCGTTTCCATGACTGACCGAAGACGCTTGGCATTTCATATTTTCACATGCTTCACTGCAACTTCGGTTCCAGCCCATACACCTTTGTAAACAATGCCAAAAGAAACTCAACCAATTTTGTCTGTAGCTGAGAAGTTTATCTTTTCCTTTTCCACTACAGGCAACTGAGTGATGTTCTCGTTAGCAGTTGTGTCGGCAGCAGAGAAGCTTGGAGATCCCAAATCACTCAAATTGGAAACCAAAACTGGCTCTGATGTCTTGTTGTGTTCCCCACTGTGCACCTCCACTCTATAGCTACCAGGTGAAGAAACCGGCAAACAGCAATTTTTGTTTCCCTCTTTTATCTTGATTCCATAACAGTACCAGGCGTACCATGCATTTGGTGACATGTAGCACAATGATACAACTCCCGGTGTCAGCTGGTTTCCATCATAGCCTCAGACCTCGTATGGAGGGTGTAGGATAAGGCTACTAGGTTGGGCATCAGCCTGTGAAAAGACTATCTTGGACTCGTTTCCCTCTTCCAAAGTTGGTTTGTCACTCCTTTCGAAAAAACATTTTTCACCACGGTGAAGCCACATTCCAATAGGTCAAAATCTGTCAATGCCACTTCTTGAATTGAAAAATCATTACAAGAATAAAGGTCGTAGCAATCTGCTCTTGAAAATGACAGGTTTCACTATCACATCAGAATATGAAGACACTGCCACTGCTTCATCTTGGGAATCGCCGATCTGTGGCCTTTCTGCTCTGTTTCCTGTGGGTGCTGACATCAAGTAAACATGAAACCTGCTTGCATAAAGGCCCTGGGATTTTAGATACTCTTGAAAAGTACATGTTTTTCTATCGGTGTCAGTAAATGCTCTTATCCTTTCCTGTGCGTAGTTACCTAAATTGAAATACATCATCTACGGCACCAAACTTTGACACTTCTTCAGGGAGATTAACTTCATGCCTTTTGCTGTGAGAAAATCCACTGAGATCTCATTGTCATCACTGTTGGTGAACTCACGAACACCTCCACCATCTTTCAGTCTTACTTGTTTATACTGAAAGTTGTCAGAGGATCGGTGAAGCCATTCGATAAACATCTTACGTTGCTTCACTGTTTTCTTTGCCACTTGGACACAGGCCACGTGAGATTTCTGTTTCCCATCCTTGCTTCCACTTTTTCTGATCTTGTCCACCAGATTCCTAATCCTTTTCTCTCTTTGAACTGATGAGAAAATATGTATCAACGTTATATTGGATACAGTTGGTGTTGGTTTTTTCCATTGAAAGAAAATGTGACAAACTAGAAGAAGTTAATAACTAGTAAAAGCTGTACTAAGTGACCACCTCAGAAATTGGAAAAAGTGATCGTAATCATGATTAGAGCTGGTAGCCTACAAGAATGAGCTCTCGTAAGCAACCGCATGGTTAAAACAATAGAGGGTACCCATTTTTACTCCTGGGTGGAGAAAGGCACTCTGAGAGTGAAGTGTCTTGCCCAAGAAAACAACACAGTGTCCCCAGTCAGGGCTCGAACCCGGACCGCTTGATCCATGGACGAGTGCACTAACCATGAGGCTGCTGCGCCTCCACACATTGACATACATTGACAAACCTTTGGATATCTCTGCTCCTTTGTTTTCAGATAACATTAAGGCTTTTATCTTTGCTATCTGGCCAATGGCTAGTCCCATACTTTCAATTTTTGAATCTGAAATCATTTTTACAGTCTGCATACTGTAAACCTGTCAAAAATAATTCAGACATAGGTTAATCATGGAACATAGCCGAAAATAGACTGTTTACCATATTTTCTACACAGCAATACTCCATCATACAGCTGAGTATCTTGTGATAATGGTTCTTGCAGTTCTCTTTTTTAATGCCCCTGTTTTTCCCTCTGCCCCTGTGATTGAAGTATGCCATTGATGGAGAGGCTTATTTTAACCTTTTCTGAAATTTTTGATCTTAAAAACATAAAACAATTTCACTTAGTTGTAGAAAAGCCTACTGGCATTTTGATATTTTCGTGGCATTTGGGTCTCCTGCAAGTAGCAGTTTTTCAGTTACCTTATGCAGCTCAAATATTGCCTTCAATTCCTTCAAGTTGGAGTTTTCCTCCAAAAAAAGAGCGAGCTGTAAGACAAAATGGGGGCTGTCATTACACATCCTTTGTCATCCAACACTAGTAAGCGTAGAAAATAAAGTGCTGGAAAATTTGGCTTTCATAGCGATTTAGACACATGGGAACTGCTTAAATTTAGAAATCACAATGCTAACATTCACAAGTATCCTTTACCATATATAGTATTGTAACGCATGCAAAAAAATATTTCATGAGTTAAATTGTAAGACGTTCTCATAGCATTCAAAACTATAAACATTTGTGGAGCAGATCCAAGGCCAATAAGGACAAATGTAAATAAATAAAGAGATTTGGAAATACTACATCCCTTCAAATGTTTGAGAACGATCAATGAATTAATGAAAAACCTGTGTTTTCACTCATTCCATATATAGCCGAATATATCAGTAATACAGCGATCAGTGTAAAATGCAGACTAGGGTAAAATCTAGAGTGCAGACTTTTAAAGTAATGTCATACTCTCATTTCAACGAAAAGCTCGTGTTTGAAACATCAGTTGTTGAATCTCTTCAACTCAGTGAATTCTGTGCAGCTCTGCAAGTGCATAAAATGCAGATGACTACTTACATGTTCATCCATCTTCACCGCTCACACCACGTAACAACACGCTTTGTGTAACATTTTAGAGCATGACAAATTGGAAGACCGGTATGTAAAGTCTGAAGTCCCTCCTTGGCTTTTGTAGAATTAATTTCCTAAATTTCCACTTGATAAAATACTTCTGGGACTAAAAGTGACATTGCAAGTAATGGTTAAGTCGCTAAGATAATCGTTTTGAGGGGAAGAACCAAGAATACAGTAAACAAGTTATATTTCACAGACAACAATTCATCCCAATGCCTCTGGACACACTCCCAAGACTCACTCTATTTCTTTGTTTGTTATCACTGATACTTTCTACTTGATAATCTTGGTGTGAAAGAGCAAGTGATGGCCATGTTGTTTGAAAGGTCCGTGCAGTGCTAATGCTAATCTAGTGCAGTGCTTATATTTTATTGCGAGAATATAATAGTTCACAATAGAGGACCACAGATATGTGCGTCTATGCCGCCATTGTGATGCTCAGTACTCAATGAGTGCAAATGATACTTTTTAAGTAAATCCAGAAGAAGATCACCAAACATAAACAGCTTGACTGAAGATCAAGAATTATGCTTAACATTAGCTCAATCGCTACCTCATACTCAATGAGTATAAATTACACTCTTTAAGTAAAACATGTAGATAGAGAATCACACTTAACATTAAATCAGTCGCTATCTTGTACTCAATGAGTACAAATTATACTCTGTGGCTTCAGCCACTTCTTTTTCCTGATCTGAGCACTGGTCAGTGTTGGATGGCAACACTCATGAAAGTGGGTGTAGCCATTCCACTTGTGTTTGTTTGTCACATGAAACAGGACTCACTTCCACTTTTCTTTCAGCACTTCAGCATTGCTATCACATGTTGCAAACACCACCACATGTGGTTCGAGACTGTACGGATCCATGGTAGGAGATCTTCACAGCCTGTCACTTTAGCCTTCTTAGAAAGTTTTTTATCACCCTCTTTGACAAATGCCAAACATCATATTGGTGGTCGATTTCACCATGGTCCTTTTTCATGGAACTTGGGATGGAAGTATGGCAGTCTGGCAATTCTCTTAATGGTGACTTCTTCTCTGGCAAGGTCTCGAATGCACCTCTCGAACCCTTCCTTTTCCATCACATTAGACAAAGTTACCTCTGTTACCTGTACAACATTGAGTGCTGCCACCTTTCCTTATCTGTCATCATAGTGTATGTGCAATATTTGTCATTGTGACCTGGACTGTCACACCATCTATTCCCCATCAAATTGACTGGCTCATCGCTTTTAACTTCAGCTAATACTGAACTTCTTTCCTCTTTCCAGGCTTTGTTTACCATAGGAAACAAATACTTGTTTTTTATATTGTAAAATGTGGTATGGTTGAAGAACTTCAAATTCAGAAAGGATGGAAAACTGGGCAATATGAGAAAATGTATTGCCACTAAACAGAATGGCAGCTGAGGAGAGTAAATTACCTGCTGTAATATTTTTTATCAGTGGCTGTGAATTCCAGCAAGTCAGATGGTTATTGACACACAGCATTTTCACTGAAAACATATTGCCACTAGTTGTTTTGGTGGATTCAAAAATGGTTCCACCACATTTTGAACAGAATTTCAGAAGTAATCTTAGGCATGACTCAAAAGCAAGGAATTTTCACTCAAGGTGTTCCTCTGAATCTAACTTGTAATCTGTCATCTGAAGATGAAGCTACATTATCAGTCATTTCACACTTGTATTCCTCCTCCTCATCATCATCCAGAACCAAGGGAGACGATGGTGGATCAATTGGGGACTCCTCATCTGATGTATAGACTTGTTCAAACAGGGTAAGTTTCTTTGGTTTACTGTCAGTGTTAATATTTTCAGATTGTTGTGTCTTTTTGTCAAATTTATCAAAATCATCAGGTCAAAAGCCAAGGTAAATTCCCTTAGATATTTTTTCCTTTTCATCTTTTACGTGGCTTCTGTGACCAGAAGGGCCAGGGTTAGTCCGATCAGGAGATTCCCTGATTATCTCAACCTCTGTCCCAGCATCAGTAAAAGTCTTGACTGGCTGTGGCACTGGTGTTAAAACTACTGGATCAGTTTGTGTGTACTCAGAACGAGTGATCACAAACCTTGCTCCCACCTAACTCTGAATACTCGCATCTTGCAAAGAAACACTTAAATTCCCTGGGCTGGTTGCCATTCAACTGGCTGACTCAGTTGGTTCTTCAATAATGATGCAAGCTCCTTCTGTTGGAGTGCTTTTTGGCACAGCTTGAAAAATTTTAAGAACAAGAATCTGACTTGTAAAATGCATACCAACGTACTCACTGACTTAGAATTTACTTAGTCGGAGCTATCAAATTAATACAACCAGTGCTTTGTATCACAGCTCGAAAAATTCTAAGAAGAAGAAAATGCCACCTAGCAATCGAATTAATACAACTAGTGTAAATACACTACATAACACTTCACCGCTAATTGATCGACTGATTAGGATAGTGCCATTTGAGGAAATAAAGGAGACAAAAGACTACTAGACAAGAATTTAAGTTCAGGAAATTTTATTAATTTTGAGAAAAAATATGTCTGAGTTCGATATTCGACACTCACCTCTTGTCGTAATTCTTCTGCTTGCTGCCAGCTCTCATGATTCTTGCTACTTATTATAGGTTTCTTCGGTTTAGGCCCGAAAGAAAACACCAAGGGTATCACATCACGTGTAAGATGTCTTTTGACCTCAAGCTCAGACATTAACTGTGCTTTCAAGTCCATTTCAAAGCAGTCATCTGTAAAATGTTTACTGCAGACATGACAGTTTTGTAATGGAGGAAGATTACCCCTTCTGATCCTCACTAACCAGGCTTTTTGTAATCCTTTATCCTTGGGAATGCAAAGGTAACTTATGTTAGACATCTTCGATGAATGGTTAATACAACCAGGCATGCAGCAGTGGACCATTATCACTATTCCACAGCGAGATTATATAGAAACAAAACTACATAATATTTCATGAGCTGAGCAACTGAAGTTTTGCGACTGAAAAGCCCGCGAACCTTGCACAATTGTGTTTCACGCTATGACGTCAGTCGACGTTCCACTGACCGTTTCACCTACCACATTC